GCCTCTCAGGAGTCATGAACAGCAAGGCGGATGAATGCATGCATCCTGAGAACGAAGTATGATACCCCCCTGGCAGATCTTCTAGGAATAAGGTACCTGGCGGCGCTCGTCCAGGCTGATTTGCAAAGATTCACTAAAGGTTACCATGGAATTTCACTGGGGCCTCGTATGCATTGTGTATATGATGTAGAGAGATAATGTGCCATACAAGGTGCATTTTACTATGTCCCTCAGTCTAACTAACACGTTCCGCTTAAACTTCACCCACGTTAAGGCCTTGGCGGTGGGGCCTGGTACTTATGACAGTGATATATACTGGTCAAGCCAATTTCGAGAAGCACTGTATGGGATGATCGTCAGACCCAAGTGGTATGAACAAGCTACGGAAATCAAAGCCACACAATGATTCCATGTGAATCCACATAAAATTACGGTATTACCAGCGATTTTAGCCTCTGAAGTCTCAGTTGAGACACTATTAGATATAGGAAGGGACGTGCTTTGAGTACGAAGACTCTATGAAGGGAGAGATATCGAGGATCTTCATGCTGTTAGATGATATGTATAAGTTATGGGTCTGCATAGTAGGCTGAAATGTGAGAGGGAGAAGGTAGTGGGATCCAGCACCATATTATAAGAGTCTGCAGATACGATATGCGATACTTATTGACAAGGATTTTGAGTTGCTGATAGCTGATTCTTGCCAATTTCGTATCTTCAACAACCCAACAACAGTTCAACTACCTTGTGCACATGCTACAAGAGTTTGACAAAGAAGTAAAGAATAAAAAGCTGAGACTGATGTCAAGCATGCCTGTGTTATACACAGAGCGAGCATGATATGTTTGCTGGTTCAGTGCCGTCCGTCAATGGAGGAAAGCAGTGGTGGGGATTTCCACCCAGGAAGTGGGGAGGGATCCACAATCGTCGGAATAGAGAGTGCTCATCTAGGTGGTCATACTATTAAGGCATCGAGGCTCTGATTATTGTACTTTTGAATTCTCGTTCTGAAACACCTCTATTCTCTTAGCTATGCTTCACGTCCAAGGCCTTTTTCCTCCTTGAGCAAGTTCGCCAAATGTTCCCCTATTATACTCCCTATCGAGTCATAGCCACGAGCTGTTAGATGCAATCCATCCCATCATCAAAGATCTCCTCCCTGAAGTCCTCTGAGGCAGTATGGTGCGGGATCTTGCTGTGTAAATCAAAGGCATGGCTATGGCATTTTAGTATATCTTCCTGCGGATTAAGTTCGAAATTCGAGACTCACATTCGCTCAGACTGATGTGCCAGTATGTACGAATTCAACGTGGCTCGTCTTGTATCTAGCCTCTGAGATTTGGCTCCACATTCAGGGATGGTCAAGGCGAGCACTTTCGCGCCAGGAGAGAGACCCACGCTCCAAGAGTCTTGCAGAGCAGAGTATATCTTTTCGGGGTGGTTCCTGTATCCTAAGTCACTAAGAAAGATAAAAAATTTAGCAAACAAGCGCAGTAATCCAATGAAAAGAAGAAAGTGAAGTATACTTGGTTCCATCGAGAACGACAACCCAGTCGTACCATCGCTTGGCGCATTTCTCTCGTATTCGAGACAAGAACACCCCTGGAGGGGATATCGCCCGATCACCTGGCATTCCATCCGCATCAACTATGATTTCAGTGTTAGAGAACGCTGCCTCAAGACTCTCCTTGAGTTTTCCGGTGTACGGGTGGTGCTCGAGCCCGTAACTGTAGTAACCCGCTGTCAGGGAGTCGCCGAAACAAAGAGGGACAGTTTCTTTGCCATTTCCTCGTATCGCTCTGCTGAAAGGCCGCTAACTGAGGTCATAGGGGATTCGTCGGATCGTGAGGCTGGAGATCAGCTTGGTTGAGACTTCCGAAGCCAAAAATACGGCCCAACCAGACGCGCCGATTTGACGCGAGGCGGGAACTTGGGCCAACTCTTGGAGGTGGGGCGGATATTTACCCCCGCGAGATAGCGTAAAAAAAAGTGAGATGATAGCTGGGGGTCTTTGAAACCCCTTTAATTGCTTCCGCTCCTGATCATTCTAGACTAGCATTATCGAGGTTGTTTTATTCGTCTGGAGTAGACCTCGCCAAAACCCGTCCATGGACACCCCCTAGGCGGACTTGGATCGGACCCACTTTGGACTGGGAGATAGGTGTCCGCCCATGGACTGCCCAAAGTGTCCAACAGTGTCCAAAGCTGCCCAAAAATGCATAAATTTCCTGCATAACCCGATTATTCAGCAAAATAAGGAACGGATAACGTACTTCACTACCGAGCGGCCACCACCACTGAGTGGCCATCTCTAAAACACATAGTAAACGCGATTGATTACAACATGATATTTCAACAACGGTAGTCTATATAAAGTTTTCCTAGTAGCCTAATGCTTTTTGGGTGACATCTAGCTTCTCTAGGGAGTTTGGAAAATATTTGTGACTTCGTGATTGCGTTACATATATTTCTGGCTTTGAGCAACGTAATTTTCAATACCATGATATTGTAGCATTTCGGTGTTCTTGAAATTCATATATAGGGTTAAAAGTCCTTATCAATAGCTATCTAATGAGAGTGAAATCACACAATAACGCGGTTGTTGAAATATAAGGTTGTAGAATATTGCATTTACTATGTGTTTTGGTGATGGCCACTCGGTGGTGGCCGCTCGGTAGTGAATTACGTTATTTACACTAGTCACAGTCAATACAATCCTTTTGACGTAGCAGTTGCTCTTAGACCATCTAAATTTGTTGAAATTCTCATGTATTCTGATTCACCTTAAACGGAACACTGATTTTCTCTCTTATCTGCGACTAATTAGTGTGTTTACGGTTTCTTGTAACTTGGGACTATTTAGTGAGAGAAATATATATTTTGCAAGGGCACCTCACGTTTCTTCACCCCTAGTTTCTACTAATATTTAGTGATTACTGGTTTTGGTCCGCTGGTTTTGGTCAAATACCTAAGGAAAACAAAATAAAAATCTAGTTCATTACTCGAACTAGTTATATCTACCATACCATTAATATCAACGCGGGGTTGATAATAACATTTATTTTTGCAGTGTAAAGAGAGCATGTAAGAACGTTACCGGTACCACCACGTGACTAATCGAGACGCCCAAAATGTGCTTTGAAAATTATAATCTAGAACGGGGGCATGCCCTCGAGCAAATTTTCAGGGTGTTTGGGCAGACTCTGGACAGTCCAAAGTCCGCCCACGCTAAATATGCCTGTGTCCCACTACCATATCCAATCGCAAATTCACAGAAGTTGGCGGCCATAGCGTACATGCACGATCTATCAGATCATATGTTTTTAGGTAGACCAACGGTCGTAACACGCGAAGCACCCTATTTCATGGGTTTTAGCGAGTTTTTCCTCTATTTTTTCCCCCCAAAAATTCGGATGTTTTGAATCATGTCTTAAGTTACCGACCTCGCCTCGTCGTCTTTCCACGATAGCTACGGTCTAAACGTCTTCCCCTCCAACCTAGAGTCCAGTCAGCAAACCATTGAATCCACACCAGCCCTATGATCTCTCCCTCCCTTGAGCGATTCGGAAACGACTGGATTGTTTACTCCGAAATGAGCAAAGAGGATTTTATTTTCTGGTGGCTTCAGACCATCCACGGAAACAAGCTCCGTGAAAGGAACAAGAGCTTCTGGGATCGATCCCGAAGTCATTCAGAGGCGTGGAAATGCTTTAAGCAGGTAGCTCATACTGTGACTGGGGACCCAAAGATAGTATAGGTACTACTCTAATTGACCCATGTCCCTTCTGGAAAGGCCATCAGCATGAATTTCCGATGCTCGCAAGTGTTGCACGAGATGTTCTTTCTATCCCAGCAGCCGGTGCGGGCGTTGAGCGACTGTTCAACTCTGCTCGGGATATCTGTCACTATCGTCGAGGGTCACTAAAGCCTACAACGATACAGGACCTGGTGATGTATATGTGTGCAACTAAGTTTGACCTTTGAGAGGAGGAGCAACAAATCTTTAGGCAATCCTTCTCGAGGGAGGAGAGAGAGAACGGCGGAAGAAGAGAAGGATGCCGAGAATCTCCAAGAAAGCCTTGAACCTATCAGTGATGATGAGGAGGATTCACATATTGAATGTAGGGAGACTGAAAATGCCGATATGGCAACTCAGCTTACTTCTGACCGGGAGGATTTGGATCCTTTACAGGGGTTTTCTAGCGAGGGAGAAGAGGTTTTAGAAACTACCAGAGAATCGGGTGATGATGATGATGGTGAGTACCCCTTTACCAAGAAATAACTCCCTAAAGCGCTCATCAGGGAGGGTCTGTAGACCTTCTAAACGTCTCAGGGGATATGATGTATTTTAAGAGACAGTTCCACAAATTAGAATACACAAAGAAACACGCACACAACCACAATGACTGCTACAAGAATTTATTTACAGGCGTAACCTAGATACGATTGAATACAGCAAACTGTACATAACTTTATGCATATTACAGTGTCCCCACTTTTAACCCATTGGACTGTCCAGGGCGTCCAGGTGGGCGGACTGGGGCCCCTCGACCCGCCCACTGGACACCAGAAGAGTGTCCAAACCCGCCCATGAACCACTTTGGACATGTCCATCGATGGGTCAATTGGACTTTGGCGAGGTCTAGTTTGGAGTGCTGTAGTGGCGTCTTAGGTGCTTAAGCAAATCGTATACCGTAATGGTACACCCCCAACAAAACATCTCTAATTTTCAATCGCCATTTTCTCGATAACTAGTAGTCTGTGCATGCTCCGAAGCAAATGGGAGATAATTTGGATGGTCGACTATAACTGACCAAGATTGGAGCGCGATCGTAGGTTGTTAGACCTCTCCAGTCTAACGAGGAAATAAACCTGCAGTCTAGTAGACTGGGGGCCCCCGTGGGATAGAGCATGAGGTCCAATGACTTTTAATCACTTCCCTCCTAGTAGCTAAATTTTCGAGCGTAATTCTGATTACATGTGCTCCCCTTCGAGGGTACTTATGCTGATAACTGCTCGTTTCGCACCGTCACAGTCGTCTTCTTAGTGATTCCACCAACACGTGTCCCCCCCAGGATCTGGCAGGCACTGTCTCCATCTCCCCAGCCATCGTGGGCATCTCCACGAATGTATGTGTGGGCGCGTGACGTGATGTGAGACCGAGTGTGGCCGGACTGTCCATAAGTGGGAGTGAGCTCGTACGCCGGTCTCGGTGAGCTACTGAAATCTTTCGCCATTGCGGCGAAGAGAGGCCGCAGGCACGGAGCAGAAGAAGTGATCACCACCAGGCCTGCCTCGATATAAACCCAATGTAACAGCTCAGCTTGCACGACTGGAGGGTATCCCCTTTCACCGATTGAATAAAGCTCGACCGTCTTGATTATACAGGCGACCATGGCACTATATAGAAAGCGGCGTGAATGAGGTTAGTGAAAATCTAGACACGAGTATACTCGAAGTGGAGTTCTGTATGCCCTTACAAGAGACCCATACTGAGTAGGCATAGAAGCACAATCTTGATGCGCAGTCTGAGTTGCAAGCTCCAGAAGCTGTAGATCGGGAAGGTCGCGAGGTATAGATCCGTTGCCGAGTTAAAAGCTAGGGCGATCAGCAACGAGCGTGCCAGCCATAGGAGCTAAGAGAGAGGGGGGGATACGGACCACCCTGAAAATAACTACAGTTCATCTGAATGCTTGCAGGCATGCAATATACCCCAGTTATAGTAGCATCAAAGACCGCGGCCACGTCCTTGCATTGAAGGTACATCAGGAGGACCGGGACCAGGTTAACGGGCGGTTGTAGCCACAGCAGTAAACATAAGGCAGTCCGCGTCTTCGATTGTAGTGGAACGAGACGGCGGAGGTACATGATGAATGCGATACGGCCAGTCGCGCATGAGATTATGCTTATAGATTGTGAAACCAGGTACCATATACTGGCTTGCACCTCCTGTTCGTGCGTGATGGTCGAGTTGCGAGCGAGACCAGCCTGGATTGCGACGGTAACGCAAGCCGTGCTGGCAATGAGGAACACCTACACATAGAAACACGATGGCAGGGTCAGCACGTCATTCCGCGGATGAGAGCAGGTCCAACACACGAGCGCAATGATCATCGCAACATCATCGACGTTGAAGTTGGCAATCTTGATCTTGGCGACTACCCGGAGTGCCATGACCACAATTGCAGCCGCAGTAAAGGTCCATGCTGTTGCCAGTACACCAGTACCCGCATTGTAGTTGTCGTCTGCCGTTGTCGATACCATGGTGAAGAGATTTGCGAACACTTTGAAGGAGACCGGAACCAGCTTCTTAAGTGCCGTGTGGGCAACTGGTAACTGAATTCAGAACAGGGGCAAGGTTCGCATCAAACCTTATTATACTTCTTGAATGCTCCTTCAGGTTCCAGAGTCTGGTTCTCGGGAGTAGGATCCAATTTGCCCTTATCTCTAATATTTCGCTTCGAATTGCCTGGCCATTACATTGAGACCAGTGGGGGTAGGGCTATTGAATTTAGGTGATTTGATCAAACAAATAATATCGATATTGCTTGACTGTCTGGTGATTAAAGAGGGCTTTGTCCTTAGGCTTTCGAGTATTAGTATCCACCGTATATGCAATACATCACCCCTCTGGATTGAGCCAAATCAATCAAGTTAGGTACCATGTGAAGCTATTTGGATAAGTTATTGCGTGTAGCATCAAGTATGTTTATATAACCGCGAGAAACACACTCGCTACCCCTTTATCCCCTTCGTCTACCTTATCACCGTCACTGCTAATCCCAGTTGTTTGATCTATCAGGCAACGTCCTCTGTATGTGCTCCGTCTCGAAGATCTGTGGCTCATTCATAGTAGATGACGAGTCTTGACAACGAGTATTTGTGCAGTATCTGTGCATGGGATATTCTCTGTCGCGTCTGTGTACCAAGCGTAGTGCCTACCCGTTTTGTGGGAGCGTAAAATGAAAAGACATGGATTATTTACGGGCTTACCATAATAATGCCCTTAATGTCATCCAGTACAGTGATTCAAAAACCGCCATCCCTAATCAGGATAGTGGACGCGGGTGGGTGTCTTCCGGGGCTCCAATGGTGAGGCAGTGGAGCCGCAGATATAAAGTTTTTGTTGTCTGTGAGTTGGCCTGTGGAAGCCACCTATAACTTAGCACATCGAAATACGAGGCACAAATTCGCACAGAGTACTTTCCCGTTCATCCCTGTCAGATTGTCCATACCTTATCGCGTGCAAATTCAAAGATCGATTGAAGGAAGGGACGCTGGTAACCCAACATTGGTTTTATTCGCCCTGTAATGATGTTGTAGGGAATAGCATGTGTACGCCCCCTCGAATATTGACCTCGGATAAACATCAGGATACATACATCTGCTCTTCGAGAAAGAAAGGGGAAGTAACGAGTCCGTACTTCGTAGCTGGCCGGTTAGCAATTTTCCGTGGGCTCTGCGGCGGGGATCAGATCCAGCTGGCATCAAATCTGGATTCTGGAGCGTAATGTTTATACCCTCGCCTCCTGAATGTCTCCCTTCCTCGGCAAAAGTCTCCTTAAGAGGATTTCGACGTTTTGTGGGTGAGGCTCCTGAACATCCTGACTTAACCTGGCTCGTATTATAGTAGGAGGCTAAGACAGTAGTGGATGGCCATGAACCTAATACCGGTCGGATTTTCTAAATGTACTCCGTACCTATCTCCTATTTATTTATTTGTTTATTTACGAGCTGCATTGGCGAAGGCCGCTGGCGCGGTGGCATGTCGAGTAGGATGGGTTTTAAACGGAAGGCAGTTTAGATAAATTCATTAGTGCGAAACGTCAAATCTACAATGCAAACAGGTGGCTCGCGGGCTTCGGTCCCCTCTTATACTCATTATCCACCCCACTTCAGACAGGCAGGAGCCGATCATGGTACACCACAATCAGTGTGGAGTGACCAGTCTTATCTGGGTCCCGCAGGATGCAGATGCCATCTGCCAGCCGACTCGGGATAGGCTGGTATAGAGAAGGCCATGAGCAAAGACCAGCATGGTCAAGTCAAATACCACACGGCCCAAGGTGAGGCCCTGGCAGCTGTTGAACGTGGTGGCATACGCTAAGCGCAAACTGAACTGTCGACGCTGCACGGTCCAATCTGTGTGCTGCGGTTTAAACTTGTTGTGATATGAGGCTGGTGCAGGCTAGGAATCAAGCCGCACCATCGGAATTGATTCCCGCATTGTCTATACGAAGAACCAAGTTGATTTTCAATCAACTTGAACTCTCTCTCCATGTGCCAATCGGTACTTAAGTTTATGACCAGAAACATAATTTAGACGAGCCAAGCTGGTATCAGGTAATTATCTAGACAATCAGGAATTCCAAACGACACGCCTTGGGAGGTCTGGATGAATGTTGCTGTCACAGCTCGTCGTCGAAAAGTTGATGATTTCGAGTTTCTCGCCAAGAGCGTGACGCTTTCCTTATCGAGATAGCGCGGCGTGACGATTTCTTATTTAGTCTTAACGTCTACCCATAAACGGAGGCTAAGATCGGTCTCGGCCAATCAATACGGGCTGAGTCCTTGAATCCCTGTCAAAATAGATGAATCCCTGTCAAAATAGGTGAATCCCTGCCAAAAATGGCACAATTCCTATTATGATTGGTTGATTTCTATCAACCACATGTAATATGTCAAGCAAGTCGAAAATGGATGTATCAAATTCCGTCTGATCCGGTTCTAGCTTTTCTCGTCTTTACGCCCCCTGAATAAAAAAAACTTGAAATGGGTGGATGCCCATTTTATTCCACTTTGTCCGTACTTTCTTCTTGATGATCATATTTTTAACATGACTCGAAAAAGCCTATCTGATTTGAAATATCCGCAAAGGTCTCATCCGCGCTTTAGCGTTGACGAGGCTAAGGAGCGGATACGGGAGCGGCAACGCCAAAATAGGGCTCGTCGACGAGTAGAGAAGGAATCTAAAGAAGAGCGGGTTGTTCCCTTAGAGGACCGACCAGCTCAGTCCTGTCCTGATATTTCGGAAGAGGAGGGGCTAAAGACATGTTCTAATTCCAATGAGCATAAAATAAGCATTTCTAGTGGTTTATACCGCGCGATTAATATAAGGTTTCCCTCTGATACAGATCAAGATCCTCATGTCCTTCACCGCCGTCATCTCGATGCCATCCGTGCCAAGGAGTACCGCAAACGCCAGAAAGAACGATCCATTGACACTACCACTTGTGTCTTAGGCTCTCTAGGGGGTGAGCAGCCCTATGCGGATCAGAGCAATAAAGCTATCTCGTCCCTATCGGCCTCACTCTCAACCATACATGATACTACGATAGAAACTAGTCTTGGTGACGATATCGATTACTCGCCAGGTGATGTGCCCACTTGTCTAGGAGAGGAGGCCCATACCGGTGAGATATGTAGAAGTGATATAGAGTGTGACCAACATCACCAAGAAAATTTGGGGTGGACTCGGCTGATAATGAAGAATATGAGACCGACTCTCAGATTCCGGAGTGGTATGCTGAAGACCAGCCAAATCTTATCGAGGATGACTCCTATACCGATCTAGAATATGCGACCGAGAAGCTGGCGCAACAATTTCTAGGCGGGATCCATGGATATAGCGCTGATCAGCACCGGGAATCTCTTACGGCCCATATCAGAGCTAAAGGAGACTTCAATCATTACAAGTTGAATCAGCTCTTCCACCAAGCTGTCCCTCACACTCTAGATAAGCCACAGCTCCTCCCCCAGCAAGTTCACCAGGAAAAATCGCCCCTTAGCCCTGCCCAATGGCAGGAGTTATTCTCCGGGGTAACTCCCTCGCACTTAGATAGCAAACCAAAGCAAGTCTGTCTTCATACTAAACAGGCCCAGCGAATACCGCCGAAAACCTCCTTCGATGTGGACAGTATCTTGGGCTTCGTGGACTCTCCGGCCGTAGCAGTGCACGGGATCCGATTCTATTCGGCCCCGCAATACTATCAAAACATTCATAACGATGTCCATCTCACTATCAAACGGGTGACTGATAATAACCACCGGCCCCGATTGCTTACGTCCAGACTAAAAGACGTGCCACATTTCCTCTTCGCACGGGTTAAAGGCGCTGATTTCCTAACTCTCCATCTCTTCTTTCCGCATTTACTCTGCCATCAGGACTTTACGAGGTTAACCAACAAGCAGTTCACACAGTGGTTTGATCAGATCTTCTATCCTGCCCTCCATCGAGTCTGCACCACTGATCACCTCCAGCACCTACCGGCGAGTTATCGGCATGCCTTGGCCACCTGCCGTGCTTCCCGGATTGAGAATCGTTTGCACGAAACGCCCGGTCACCAGCCTCAGCTACAGATGTCGTATTTCCTACCGCCGCAATGCCTGACTCAGCTATGGCAGTACGTCCTCGCGACGGTCGAACAGCCTGGATTACAAGATTTTCGTGACCCCCAGCTATTAGTCGAGGCGAAAGGGATTAAACTACGGTTTAAATCTGCTGATACGCCATCCGATATGCTCGCAGTCATCGAAAGTTTCGACCGCGAGCTGCATCGCGTTTTAAATTTCTCTCACGTGTTACACGAGCGGCTATACGCTGACGTGGGCAAGGAAACCTGCCCGCAAGGCGGTATTCCCCAAGGCGATAAAGGCGGCGATTCATCACAGGAAGCACAAACATACATCTGGCGACGCTGTTGCCTCCGGAATCATCTCTATCAGCTTTATGATGGGAATGTCCTTAAGTCGAACCAGAACTTTTATCATAAGGCAATGCTCCGAGATGCGGGTTCTCTAACGACACGGACACCTGCCCGGTTCCGTCTTCGCCGCGGAGGTGTATTATATAGCCAAATGTATAACCTCACGAAGGAGATTATCGATGCCACCCGTACATTTCATTTCAGAATCCGGAACTGCGACAACTAGCATTGGACTCTCAGCTCCGTAATAGCGCACAGTGCCTTCGTAAGGCATCGTCATGGGGCAAAGGGGTCACTAAACGCGCGTACCTTACTAGCAAACGTCGCTGCCACTTTGGGCTTATGGACTCTCGGCAGCGAGCCTTCGGCATCCGAGAAGAATATCGTATCTCGTGGGGATTATTTCACAGCCTTATGGCGGTACTGCGCTCTCTTAGAGGTGTGAACCTCTCCACTAGGTTCATGGGGCCCCCCTAGCATGTATAGGTAGTCCGCACCGCTGACTTCGTTGATTACGTCTGGCATAATCTAAATAAGTTTACTCTAGGTTCGAGCTACTCCGAGCTAGATGTTCTCCTAGGTTGACAACGTGGGAGCAGACGAAAATGATGGATATGTTCCTCTCCTGTCTCCGTGTCGCTGCTAGGGGCCATGATTATTCCCGACAAGGCTCGCTGTGGTGGAGTCGGCGTAAGCGTGCCGCACAGTCAGCCGGGCCAGCGTAGGTGATTTATGGGCTCGGGTTCAGCCACACGCTAGAGCATTATGGCTACTGCTAGATTGAGTCTCGCATTGATTAGGCTCGGCCGGCTTTCTTCCCCGATATCACCGACTTTGTCCTGTTTGGCAGCGGCACGCTCCAGCGTCGATATCTCGAATGTGGTGGCCATATCCAGCACTTCTTTGATCTTACTCGCCGCGCTGACTTAGGCTTAGAATGGTTGCGGCAATATCCTAAGGAGGACGCTATCACCAATCGAATTCTATCATTGCTGGCTCATCTATGTCTCCAGCAGATGCGGTTAGACATTTTACGGACTATCCGGCGAGAGATCCGACCGGATGCTCGCTCGGCGATTCTAGACAATCAAGTCCAATTCTACTATTAGGGTCTTTCCGTTATCTTGAACGGGGATATAACTGCAGTAACTAGCCACCGGACTAGTTTTAGGAACCCTTATCAAGCATGTCGAGCTTTATTTGGCTCCGGTAATAGTCGACAACGAATTAACTAGGACAATAAACCATTCCGCACGCTCTATCGACGAATTTATACCGCATTGCAACAGTTTCCGGTAGAGCGGAGGTTGCCATATATATTTGCAAGCCGACTTAGGCGCTACCTTTTTTCGTACTACTAGGTGCTTCCGTATCCTTCGTTATATAGGTTAACACAGAAAACCAAAAACGGCAGCCACCGGTGGTATTCTATTGACCTCTAAGCCAGCTTTAATGGCAATTCAGAATATACCGCGGTCGACGATTAGTATTAGGCAGGAAATAGCTAGCGACCAGGCTATCCGACACTCTTCCCTTAATACCTTGACTAGAGTAAGAATCAATAGCAGTCATAGATTGTTAGTCATCGTGGTCAGCCGCCTAGACTGCGCCAAAAACCGCAATTGGGGGCAAACCTTCCCCCCAAAACCCAAACCGCAGTGGGTGCGGTTTCTAACCGCCCAAACCGCACCCAAACCACAAACCATTGCGGTTCCCCAATGGGGCCCCAACAAAATCCATTTTTGCATAAAATCATGGCCTTGGCATACATAAATCTGCTGATTCATACTAATATATTAACTTACTGTTATTTAACCTTGTACTGGTCACAATGAAAGCTGATCTAATTTTTTTTTATAAACGCAATGAAATCGATAGTAATTTATTTGTATATAGGTTTATTAGTATAGGTAATGATATCTCCTTCGCTTTTAGGTATATTAAACGATAGACGGTTGAAATTGTTAGGTGTTAAATATTCTTCCATGTTTATTGCGATATATCTGGCATAAATCCTCTGTTGATATAAAGATCGCAACAAACCTGATATAATTGTACGTCTAATTCTTAAGAGCTATATTACGCCTTACTTTCTGAATTATCTCAGAAATAGAGGCTAGAGATAACTAGATACACACTTTGATTTCTTAACTTACCTCAGAATACAAGCCATTATCGACTATTACGGGCTGATAATGGCAACGGCTGCCTGAGCATTCAAAGTCGCGTGCTTTGGTCTTTCGGCTGAAATGGTTTTTTGCGGTTTCTCAATAGCTTTTTGCGGTTTCTCAATGGTTTCTTGCGGTTTCTTGCGGTTCGTAATGGTTTATTGCGGTTTAAAATGGGGCTGACCCATATAATAAGCCACTAGCATCCAATTAACGGCTTTATATCATTATTCTATCGCGATGTATCAATTCACTCAGGGATCCTCTGTTTGTCGGTCGCATCCCTAAAGAATCCGCACAATTTGTGTAAGTCAGACCCTTCTCTCTTACTATTTACTATCAATAGCGGTGTTTCTAATATCATCATGTCTCAAAACCAGCAATATCTCTTCTCCTCATCGATTTATGGCAGCGAATTTGACAATTATACTCCTCGGAATCATCCTTTTACGCCTGATCTATCCGAGAGTCAGGAAACGTTACCTTCCTTCGATACAGATTTCCTCCAACTATCCCTGCCGCCTACACTTCCTTCACCATTCACACGTGTTGGCCCTGGTCGGAATAAAGCCTATTTTCTCTACGACGAAATGCTCCATAACGACTGGGTAAGCTGGTGGCTAGAGACAGGGTTTGGTAAGAAAGGTCATATACCCTGGGACGCGAAACATCAGTCCAGTACCTGGGATGCATTTCACCAGGTCGCTAATAGCTCTGATGGTGCTGCAAAGGCTATGTGTAAGCGCTGTGGACAGCTTCTTGAGCACCCGAACTTCGTCCGTGAGACAAAGGATGGGAAGAAACAGCGTCAAGGAACCTCGACTATGAAAGGTCACCTTACCAGCACAGGCTGTATTAGAGCTTCTCAGGATCAAGGGACAAATATCACTCGATTTCTACAGCCAAAGGTATAGTTCTAGTCCTCTATCGTACATAATTCTAGTCTAATTACTGGCTTTTTATGACTAGAATATGCCGAAAACCGATGAATTCAGTCAAGAGACATGGGAACAAGAGATCCTTACATTTCTTACTGTCGCGCGTCTTCCCTTTCGGCTGATTGAGCATCCCACGTTTCATCGCTTAATCCAGATGGCCCAGTCCGCGCCAAGGGTCCCTGATATCCCTTCAGCAAAACTATACGACGTCGGCTCCAATCCTCCGTACAACAACAACGAGAAAAGATTCTGAGCCTACTCCCAGAAGACACAAAGATCTCGATTGCCCTTGATTGCTGGACTTCGCCTTTCACACAGGCATTTATGGCTATAACTGGTTACTTTATCGATAAGCACTGGAAATATCGAGAGGTTTTTCTCCGCTTCGAACCACTTCATGGATCACATTCTGGCGTTAACCTAAGTTCTGTGCTCCTCGATGTTCTTCTACAACATAAGATTGAGGATCGGGTCTTCGCTATCACAACCGACAATGCATCAAACAACCAAAATGGCCGAATAAGAAGGTCTTAAGGCTATACGAATGCCTGTCGAAACCACGATCATCGATTATGATACAAATGAGATCAATGCGTATTGCGCTGCGACACTTCTTGTATAAGATCAATGAAGTGGAGTCTGACAAATGCCCCTGTGGAGAGGGCTCTCAAACGCCGAGGCACGTCTTGCTACAATGCCAGACATACGGCGCATTGAGAAAGCGTCTATTTGACCAGTTGCATCGAGCAATTGGGCCATTTGATATGTCTAATTATGACAGCATTGTTTCGAACCCGCTGGCAACCCGCTACGTTGCCAAATTCATGCACCAAACCGGTCTTCTTGCCCAGTTTCAACACGCTGAGCCTGAAGAGTCCGATGATGAAGCTGGAGACCTTAACCTTGAGGTCATGGAGCAGAGTCCCGAAGACGCTGGGCACTACCCAATGCTTGCCAACACCGTCGAGGGTGGAGAGAATCTCGATGAGCTATTCGAATACACGCTGCCTGACTGGGCAGTGAACAACGATAATCAGCAATCGAGGCTGAAGTGAGGATGTCGCAGAACGGGGTTTGATCTTGCTCAGTGCTTACTGGGTAGGGTCTTTGATGCGGAAGTGTGTAAATGTCTACTGAGAAGGAGAGGACATTGGAGAGGTGGAGGTGCATCCACGCATTCATTTTGTATTCATTGCTTATTAGCGTTGAATTTCTCATTTGTACTGCGGGTTTTATGGGTTTGGCTTACATGTACGGGCTGGTGCTTCCACTCCTTGAGAACCAGCCTCATTTTTGTACTGGAGCATGATCAGGCGTACGGACACGAGTTCTTGCTTCAACTGGAAAGAAGCGCCTGCATAGCCATTACGATACTAGTTAGGCTCCAACAGGTTAATAGAACTTTGATTGATTGATTGATTGATCAAACAACCAAACATTAGTTGATACACTACAACAAGCTATGCCAGAAGACACTATCCTTATTAGGGTTCCATGTCTTGCTCATGTAATTCAGCTCAGCCTTAATGAGCTTCTTGGGCATATTAAGGCATGCCCGCTAAATGAGTCAACGGAGACACGGTGGACAGAGCAACGATCCCAGTCAGCGCGTGCGAATGCAACCAAGCAAGATATTGCTAGTACACTATCCAAGGTATGTCTATATCGTCTAAAGTTATTATATAATACTAACCATTACCTCTAGATTCGAAACCTTGCTATCTATGTGAATGCAAGTCCTCAACGCCGGGAGACCTTCTATAATCTACAAGGCGAAACAACAAAGCTCATGCCTCTTCAAGACGTCAAAACACGCTGGAATTCCACGTTCTTAATGCTTCGAGGTGCAAAACGCCTACGATCGCTTTTCCAGCCATTTTGTGATGAGTATGAGCGACCTGACCTAGTACTCGATGACGAAGAATGGCGCCAGGTTGATTACCTTCTCTTTATCACCCAGCCTTTCTTTGATTTCACAGTTGAACTATCAAAGACCCGGGATGCTACTACACATCATGTATTCCTGATTTGTAATAAGCTATTTGAGCACCTTGAGCTATCAATTACCCAGCTAACGCGGAAGAAGACTCTCTGGAAGCGACAGATGCTTCAGGCGTTACAAGCCGCTCGTAAGAAGCTTGATGAATACTACTCTGAGACAGATAACGTACGAGGGCATCTTTATGCAATCACTACAATGCTCGCTCCAGCGAATAAGTTCCAATTCTTTCAAACAGATGATTGGGATGATCGTTGGCGTACGACATACCGGAAATCTATCGAAGAACACTTGACTGTCTACAAAGAACGCCTTGCCCAACAATCGATATCCACTCCATCTCTTTCGTTAGGGAGGGGAATATCACGTCTTGACTCGATGGTTAAGCCAAAGCGTCCCCGCTCTACTATAGCAGGAGATGAGCTTTCACAATACCTTGACAGTCGTATGTATTCTAAACCGCTCTGCTATGTATGATCCTAATGACCTAAAGCTACTATAGATATGGCGCCTTTAATGTTTTGGAGGGAGAATGCTCATCGTTTCCCTACTCTTGCAGCCCTAGCACGAGATATACTATCAATCCCTGCGACTGGAGCTGGTGTTGAACGACTATTCAACACTGCTCGAGATATCTGTCATTATCGCCGTGGGAGATTGAGTGCAACAACTATTCAGGAGTTAATGATGTTTCTTTGTATTTCAAAGTTCGAGATCGAGGAGGAACAGGCGGCATTCCTACAGGAAATCTTTACTCGCGACGAGATTGAAGCGGCGAAGGAAGAGAAGGAAACTACACCCGATACGGTCAGCGTTGATCCAATCAGTGATACCGAAGAAGAGCAAACACAGGAAGAGGAAGAGGTACAAGGTAGAGGGGATATACAAGGTATAATCGATCATGATGCCGACCCTCCTCTTCCTTCTTGTGAGGAGGAAAGCACTCAGATCCGTGCTTCAGTAAGAGCTCGAAAACGGATCAGACGTGACGAGGATCTATACAAGTATTATTAGTGATTAACACAATTGCCAATTCAACCATATTAACCCAATTCCCGACGGCTATTAAGAAGCCAACACTAGCTAAATAATCGTATATTCTGACGGCTGTCAGAATATACTGCTATAAGCTGAAGAACCCATTTACGTAAGTCAAAAATCCACTTTAGCTGTAAATCAAATACCATAAGAAGCAGCGCAAAACTGCATAAAATATGCAGTCACAAGGACCCACCCAGTTTGCATTGTTTATCAACCCATTGGGCCCCAAGAACCCACTGCGGTTTGAACCTCGAAAACCAAAAACCGCAATGGTTTCTGGAACTGGCCCCAAAACCCAACCCATTTGCGGTTTGGGTTGGGTTGGGTTTGCGGTTTTGCGGTTTCTGGCGCACTCTACAGCCGCCAACGTATATACCATAGGAACTCTAAGACGACTATAGTAGTCCCGCTTATTATCTATCAGACCTCCTAGATAGGGCCCGACGGTATCCCGTGCGGCATACTCGTCAAAACAACCATGTACGATATCTTGACCACGACTTACGACAACCACAACCATGTAGACCTATAAGTGGCACTGTCATCATGATAAAATGCCCTGGCATTCCAAATATTCAATCCGAATTTTCATAAATAGAATAGCCATGGAGTTATGGTCTGTTGAATCCGATCATTTTCGATGCCAAAGTGCTTATCTAAGTATACACTAAACCCTTCTGAATTTCGTGGTCAAAACTAAACCCTTTTTGATTTTCGTGGTCAAAACTAAACCTCTTTCGGAACACGGCGTAACTATCTGATAGATTCGATTCTAGGTTCGATTCCTATGCTGACTGGATCTCTCTGCGCCCCTATTCGTATCACTTGAAAAATGGAGGCCTTTCCCGCCACGTACTGTCGCATCAAGAACACTAGCTTATCATGGCACCACCATCAGAAGTTCCAACGCGAAAAAGAGGACGACCGCGAACATATACATCTACTAAGGCAAAGCAAGTATCGAATGTCACGCAACGGCGGAACCGGCGACAGTCTGCCCGCGCTGTACATCGTGCCCAGCAATTCGACGAGCACTATTCTACCACAGTGCCCCTATCCACTGATATCAATGAACCTCCGTCAACCTATTTTCCTCCGGGGGAACTCTCCATCGCCACCGAGGTTGAGCAACTTCTACCACCTCTTAGCCCCGACCTTGGACCATGGGAACCATCGATGCCTGAGATCCCGCCGATAGATAACGAGGTGCTGCTGGAATCCACGACTGATATAGCCAACGATCCTACTCTAGCAATCTCGCCGGACAGTGCACAAGAAAGGACCACCGAAGCCAGTCCTATACGAGGGATAACTGAAACCCCGGTTCAAGCGACCGAGCCGTTTGTGGTTCCACCCCCCGTGCAATCCGAAGACTTGACAACCAACGCGGCTAGCAATATCCATAAATTAGCCCAGCTTCTTACTGACCAGCTTCAACAACACCATGGCTGCTGCCGCCAGTGCCATACGGAGCAGGAGAGTGAACATGGAATACAGCACACGGAGCATCTCGGCCTAGGAGAGTATATAGACCGGATTCAGGTAGATGGGGGATACCCAGATGTTCTCAGTGCGGCGACAATGGCTAGACGTGAGGACAACCTAGCAGGAAAGACCAGCGCAGCCCGAAAACGGGAGATCTATACCGGGATAAGTCTAGCCACGCCTGACGCTCGTCCAGTCCACCTCTGCCTTGCCGCCGATCATAAGCCAGAACGCCCAACGGCGGTGACATTTGATATCGATAGTATTGTTGGATTCGCGCACAGCCTAGCAGTGGCCAAACTTGGAGTGCGGTGGAACTCGACTCAGATGCCTGTCTCTGATCTTCGTTCGAGCCTACATCTAAATCCCATTCCTACACACTATATTGGAAGCAATGGTCGCGCTCATCACGTCCGACGGCCGGTGCATAAGATCCCACATTATACATTTGGACGGTTAGTCGGATTTGAGGATATATCTCTTTACTTCCTATTCCCGCGGCTATACCGGGAGGAGCAGCAATCCAGCCGCCTCCGTGATGATGACTTTCGGATCTGGATAGACCAGATACTCCTCCCTGCAATCTACCGCCATCACGATGGTTCGCTTGTCCAGCATTATCCTTCTAGCTTTGACCACAGCCGGCTAAATGCTACGGCCCGGGGTGTTGAGATGCGCTCGCAGCGAGTGGATCCAGTCGCTCGGGAGCAGCTTCTATTCTATTTCCTCCCACCAAATGCACTCTCGCTTGTGTGGGCAAGTATTCTGGAGACCATCGAGAGCGCTGGACTCCAGCAATTCTCGGACGTGACTATCCTTGTCCAAGGTAAAAACCTGAAGACATTGACCAAAGCAAATACGTGGGACGGTATGATGCAGGAGTTTGCCCAGCATTGGGGTAACACGATCGACGAGTCTCATCTCTCCGATCAATTCTATATTGATATTGGGAAAGAGACCTGTCCTACTGGGCCCTCACAGGTTGGTGGTGTTGGACTCAACGCATCTAGGCACCGTTCGGACGGAGAGCCCCGTGCAAACCAACTAGTGCCACAGACCATCCTCTGGCGGCGATGCTGCTTAGAGTCGTATGCTGAGTGGATTGGGCAGCAGCATCCTCCTGAGTCCTCACGTCCAAAGCAGCAGTTTTATCCGATCAGCCTACTCTACGACTCGGGCAGCCTCACACTAGAGACGCATCGAGCCGCCCCACAGCGGCAGGCAGGCCTTCTCTATACGCAGCTTTATTCGAGCGTCAAGGAGGTTTTCGCGGCAGGGGATGTATACCCATTTACGAACTCGGCCGTAGACACCTTAGCGCTAGACCCCCAGCTACGTAAGACGTGGCAGTATGTCGGAGGAGGTCTTAGTCATGACCCCGTCGCGTTGATGCGGGCTTATCTCAACATGAAGCAGCGGTGCCATGCTGCCTTACAAGGATCATATATGAAAGTATTTGGTCTTCGCGAAGAGCACCGTATCTCCCGGCGTCTTTTCTATGCCATCGATCAGGAATTCCGAGAACGCAACCTTCATCAGGCGCAACTTCCCGGGGTTCTATCGGAGGTTGAGCCGTTTTACTCCCTCCCCACCTCGACCCTCCTCTTTTGGTTCCACTGGAATATCAATAAGTTCTGCGTAGGGTTTGAGACCGTTTATAGCATCAATGACCGCCATTTCGTCACGTGGGAACATACTCGGGTTATGATGATGTTTCTGCGCTGCCTACAATTTTCCTATACGGGTGGCCTTCTACAGCGTGTGTCCGGCTGCTGGCGGGATGTCTGGTTCCAGCCTGATGCTCGGCGGACGGACGGCCTTCGCCGGTGTGAAGGTCTAGGATTCCAAAGTAGCATGGAGAAATATGGATATGCCTGGTTTCTGGATAAGCTCAACTGGGATACGATGACCTTTCGACAACCGTCCGCGCAATATATGATGTTCAACAGCCCTTCGATACAGGCGGCGTTCCACGCACGGTATGCGCAGATCCGAGACGTTCGTCTGGACTTCCTACGGGTGCACCAGGCCCACCGCTGGATGGAAGAATTTAGCTCAATTCCTCCTTGCCTCGATCTTCTCGCGGACTTCCTACGACAGCTGTCTCTTTGCGTGTTTCGTAAGGACGTGTTTCTACAGGTCAAACGACTATTACACCCAGACCATGCTTCTCGGGCTCTAGCAGGAGAGGTTCCCCTTAGCTATGACAGCATCAGCGGCGTATTTATTGAGGGCGCCCAACCATTACAGCTTCTAGATCAGCGTCGGATCGCAGTAAAGAGCGTGGACACTATCTTCGCTTGGCTATGGGAGTGGAAAGATGGCCGTTTTGATCGGAAGGGGTGGAAGGACAAGCCATATCGTATGGTGTACCAGCAAAGCTTCGAGGCTCTCCACCAAATTCTGGGCAAGGATAGAGCGCGGGAGTGGAAGAAAGTCTTAAGGACTTCATTCCTCCAAAGCCACTGGTTACTTCCATACCCACATAGCAATGGATTTATGCGCAGGTCTAAGGATACAGGACAGGAGGTATGGTGGTCTAACTTCAATGCCGGATTGTACGAACACTACAGGCAATGGTATGGTGTGTCGCGAGGGGGTGACCCTTTCCCTGCCGAATATATCAAACACTATCCAACGACTGGCTGGGGCCGCTCGTCTGGCGAATCTCAGTACATGGAGAACGCTATGGAACCAGAGATGGATCTGGTTAGGCTTCCTGAAGGGGAATTCTATGAGAAATTGTTACAGATCGCCGATCGGTTTTCCCAGAATCCCGATGCCCCGGCATGGAAGACCAAAGCACCGCAGACTATTTTTGGCTTTAGTATCAGAATTGGAGATGACTCATTGTTAAAGGCCCAGCGCAAGGTCAAAGGGACTGCGGCGCAAGATTTCTGCATGCAAATGATCCAAGCCTTGGATGAATATGAGGTCTTAGGACATTCTGGACGGATGCTCCGGCCCCGCAAGAGGCACAGACGACAAGTTCCGTTGGCCGCGCGTGACACCGAAGACGAGATCACATCCGATGAAGAATCAATCGCCAACCGACGCGATCGCTTAGCGGCAAACATCCTTGAGCTTGAACCGAAAATGCGGGTGGCAGTTACCGCGGAGCGAGAACAGTACCGGTGGCCCCTTTTACATAGTGTTCATCTGAAACATCTTGAGCCACGACTTCAGCGATTCAAGGTTGCCGGAACACAAGCTAGCGACTCGCCTTAAGTCAGCTGTTTGGGCTGAAAGCCGTAAGGCTGGCAATTTTGGTAGGGTGGTCTATGTTCGCACCTCACAACTAGGCTAACCGGATTTGGCTTAGTGCCCGCACTAGCACAGATAAAGTTGCTTTAGCGCGATATCAAAGCGGCTTGATTCTATACAACCTAATCCGCGCTTTCCACCTGTCCGCCCGCAACGCAACGCCCACGACGGCAGGTAACCCTATCCCACGGGGGTAGCTGCAGTCTGGCAGACTGCAGGTTAGGGTTTTCCCTTAACTATGGCAGGAAAAGTGGGTCGTACGCCTGACTGCAGGTTTACTTCGTCGCCAGACTGCGGAGGTGTAGAGTCCTCCGATTAGCCTCAAATTTTGACTAGTTATAATAGAGTATCTAATTTATCTCCTATTTTCTTCGGAGCATGCGCAGCCTTCTAATTCTCGAGAAATAGGCGATTGAAAATTGTAGATGTTTTGTTGGGGTGTACTATTACGGTGTACGATTAGCACCTAAGACGCCGCCATAGCACTCTAGACGAATAGAACAACCTCGATAATACTAGTCAATAATGACTAGGAGGGGTAGCAATTAATTCAGGGGGTTTTGAAGCTTCCTAGCTATTATCTCACTTTTCTTTTACACCATTTTACCCCAAAGTTAGCATTCAACATTTGTCAAATTCTATGCAATTCATTATTATACGATATATATCTACACATTCATTATGCAAAACCAATTCTTTCACCAACCTTCGACAGACCCAGTTCTCGTCTGTAAGCGATGCGAGCACGTTGTTAGACCGAGAGAGGTCTTCCGGCACCTCCAGTCAGCTAATCATCGATTTGGGAAGCCAAAAGCGCGCCAAATTGCTAAAGCTATTATTGAGACGTACGAGCGCTCGCAAGAATGCGATGAATGGCAGCCCCCGACCGTCGTACACCAGCCAATTGCTAATTTACCAGTTTTTTCGGATGGCATTTTATGTGAAAAGGGTCCGTTCTGCCAATTTATCGCACGTACGGTGAAGACCATGCGACAGCATTGGCGTGACCAACATGGCTGGGTCGCACCTAAAAACGCCGGAGGACGACCTAGCCAGTTAACCCAACGATCATCGGCTGCCGAGCAGCAAATTCAGCAATTTACGCGCGTCGTTAGATGCCAGCGCGCATTTATCCAGGGCCCAGGATCTCATTACATTCGGGTGCGTACGCTCGGGGCGGAGGCCATTGCCGAGACCGATTTAATGCCCGCGACCGAGGTCGGCGACCGGCTTATTGATGAAATCGAACTAGCTTTCAAAGAGGAAAGTGAGCTACCCCAGCTAATTGAAGCTGGCGAGCGCGATGACGCGAATCCATGGCTCCGTCGTACGCGGTGGGCCGTCTACCTCCGTGGAATCGACCCGCAGCACCTTATTGACTGCGTCCGAGCACCCGAGGTCGATTCATACGATCCGACGGAAATGGCGGCAAGCGCTATATGGGATGCAATGGCGGCTGTCGCGAGAATTAGCCAGTTGATTTGTACGAAAACTAGCCATACAATTCGCACCGAAGCCGTACGAACGGAGCGTGACCGACTGCCGCACCAGCCATTGCAAGCTTACATGGATGCCGATAACATCGAGAGACATACCATACCGTGGCAGCAAATCTTGATGTTTTTCACTCGTACGCAGGCGTCGCATGAATGGGCCAGTCCAAATTACAAATTCACTAGGCGCCAGCGAGCCGCGTGGAATTCGCTTTGGAAACTGGCTCAGCCGGGCGCATTACCTAGCGTAGGCATTGCTAGGCCAGCCAGCCTAGCCACGGCTAGTTCAACCACGGCTAGTTCAGACGATAATAGCGAGCATTCAGAGAGTGCGCATTCAGAGAGTGACACCGAGGATTATCCCACGCAGCGAATTGCTAGCGAATCGCTAGCGAATCAGCAAAATAGCACCGATTCTCCGTTTCAGCTAGCTCCTATTGATCTAGCGTGTCTCAATTTTTGCATTGAGCTTTTGAATCATCGAATTAAGGTCGAGGACTATGAGAGCGCGCTGATTTGTGCTACGGCAGTGCTCGGTCGTGGTGAGACAGGCTGGCGTACAGCAGAGAGCTATCCACCTATTTTATCGAAGCTTATTAAAATCGCACGATTCATGGTAGTCCATAAGGCATTGAAATTGGATTCCACGGCTGAGGCAATGCTATATCAGCTAGCGGAGCATCAAATGGCAGGGGATTGGGATACCGAGAGTCCACTCGATACGCCTGAATTTCAGACATCAGATGATCAATTTCAGACATCAGATGATCCATTTTTCAATTTTGAAAATGGCCCAGTTCTGCCACCGACGCAGTCATCGCAATTCATTCAATTTACCCAGGCTCGGCAGACCCAGCGATCATTTCGAGAGTGGGTGGCTGAGATGGTAAGCCAATTCATGGTCCGTGGAACTAATAGTCCAATTCAATGGTTATTAGATCTACGGACGTACGGCTTAAAGATCCATTACAATAGCACCACTACGGGCCACGTCGGCTGGATGAATCAGGACCAGCTACTTTACCAGCAATTCAATTTCTCAATAGGTGACTTCCGTGGGTTCATCCACGGGCTTACAACGTCGGCACGCCAAATCCTTCACAATGAGCTATTATTCGTCGAAAATGGGTCCGTTCCAGCTATTCCATGGCAGGCAATTTACGACGATCCCACCGAGACATCCCACGGGTGGAATTTCTTAAAAGACACCCGTACGCCATGGCCGGTAGACGGCGAGCAATGGCTAATCGGGCGGGTACGGCAGCACGGCCCGGTACGGCAGCGATTTATCGAGAGTAGTGCCGGTCGGCTACGGATGGCAGCAATTGACGTATACCTTCAACGGGTAGCGCATTTCCGTGAGAAGCTTGCTATTGCTATTCACGTGAGTGGTGGCCAGCCGGCTCGAGCGCCAGAGCTATTAAGCATTCGGCATTGCAATACCGACAGCGGGGGCCGTCGCAATATATTTATTGAGGATGGGCTCGTAACCTTCGTCTCACAATACCACAAGGGGTTTTACGCATCCAATGATACGAAGGTGATTCATCGCTATTTACCCCAGGAGGTAGGTGAGCTTGTGGTCCATTATTTATGGTTAGTATTGCCATTTATACGACGATTGGAGGCGTACGTAGCGAAGGTGCGGAGATCGGACGGCGTGGAAGAGATCAAGAGGTGAGTTGTTTCAATTTCTCAATTTCTCAATTTCTCAATTTCTTAATTTCCAATTTCTTAATTTCCAATTTCTTAATTTCCAATTTCTCAATTTCTCAATTTCCAATTTCTCAATTTCCCAATTTCTCAATTTCTCAATTTCTCAATTTCTCAATTTCTCAATTTCCCAATTCCTTCAATTTCTTCATGTTTTTTACTAATTTTGGCAAGTAGGCAGCGTCAGGCTTACCTCTGGGGTCCGGATCCTGGCACTAGCCGAGCTTGGTCATCTGAGAGACTCCGTGAGGTCTTAAAACGGGAGACCACCATTGGGCTTAATGGGCAAGCGATCAATTTGAATGCTTACCGAGATATTGCTATCGGCATTAGCCGTCGGTTCATGCGGCCATCTAGCGTATTTCCCAATAATACGCAGCAGGATGCAAGGGCCGATGCTTCACAAGAGGATGACGAAGACGGCATGAATGCTGAGCAATGGATGGGCCATATTGCTGACCTCCAGGCGGCCCATTCATCCCACGTGGCCGGCATGATCTATGGCCGTGGCATCACCGAGCAGCCCGGAACGACGGCCCACCGGCGTGAGATGTTTCGGCATAGTAGCACCGACTGGCATCGATTTTTAGGCTTTGTGTCCACGGATGACGGCGGGGCCGAGAGTGCATTAGGAATAGCCCAGTTTTCACCATGGCAGAAGGAAGCCGAGATCGGCCGTACGGAGCGTCGCTGGCAATTAACGCAGGCAGCTATAGAGCCCGAGATGCAGCGAATGCTAGGAAATAGCGAGCTTCGACTCCGAGGGGTGCAGGCACCGGCGTTAGCAGCGATTCAACAAGGCCAGAGCCCGGTGGTGGCCGTGATGCCCACCGGGGGTGGAAAAAGCTTACTTTTCATGCTACCCGCGTGGATCAGCCCCCGTGGGGTGACGGTGGTGGTCGTGCCATTAATTGCATTACGGGGAGACATGGTATATCGATGCCAGCGGCTCGGTATTTCATGCGTGGAGTGGGAGAGCCGTCGGCCGGCAGACCAGGCATCGATTGTACTCGTGACGCCGGAATCAGCTATTACGGAGGATTTCATGACATTTTTGAACCGGCAGCGGCTATGTCATCGGCTAGATCGCATTGTGATCGATGAATGCCACGTGGTATTAAATGATCAGACCCATTTCAGGCCCGCCATGGCTCAATTAGGTCGATTGCTCGTGGCTCAGGCTCAGATGATATATTTGACTGCCACGCTGCCACCGACGGCCGAAAACCAGCTATTTCAACGGCTACGTACGTCGCGAGAGAAGGTCCATTTATTTCGAGCTCGCACCCATCGCATGAATATCGCTTACCGGCTATGGCAGCCCACGGTGCCGAACCCAAGCCGATACGCCAATAGCTACGATTGGCTAGAGAACCCCGAGATCGTACGATTTATTAGAGATCGTATTACGCGCGCGCGTGCTCAGACCGGCCGGGTGGTCATTTACGGGCCCACCACCAAGACTGTCGAGAAACTAGCCGAGTTAGTCGAATGTGAGGCATATCATAGCCGTACGATCGATCGCATTGGCGTACTAGCCCGTTTTCAGGCCAATACCACGGGGGTAGTGGCAGCTACTAGCGCGCTAGGCATGGGTGTTGATATACCCAACATTCGCAGTATAATTCACATTAGCTTGCCACGCAGCTTATTGGATTACGCGCAAGAGAGCGGCCGTGCTGGCCGAGACGGGCATCGTAGTGAGGCCATTATTATACAACCCGCTAGGTTTTCACGGCCGAAATGGGACCCGATTCATGAAGACCCCGTGAAAGCACAGGCTGAGCAAGCAAGGCTTGACCGATATATATCTCGAGACTGCTGCCGACGCGTCATACTTGACGAGTATTTAGATGGCTATCCCATGGGGTGAACTGTAATGAGGCTCGTTACAGTTTAGTCAGCATTTTTTTATATAGGGTTAGGGTTTCCCGAGGGGGCAGATTACAGTTAGTTTCAGGGTGCCATTACAGTTACGTTCCCGTGGTTTTTTTCCGTTCAAATTTTTACCAATTCCAATTGAATAGTCAATTGTTTATTATCCCGAGTTACCAGGCAAAGCAACGTTTTAGAGAGGTTGTTACAGGGATTCAAAGTTGGGGAATTATTTTGATGGGGTACGGTCGGCCGCGCCATCACCAATATCATGAAACCCCAACACCCATCACCGCGCGATTCATCACACACGCATTATTGGTTCGATTCGTTTGAAAACCCAGTCGAGGATTTCAGGGGTTCCGATCAGTTCCCAGTTTCAATTTTATCAACATCCGAGCAGTTCCCAGCGTTAGGGTTTCACCAGCATACATTCATTGGACAATCCGCATTGTGAGATATATATCCACGGTTAGTATGAGTGAACCGGCAGAACCCACCATTGCCGACCGGTATTTTATTTGCAATAAGCAGTGGGGAGTTGCCATTTGTCGCCAGTGCGAGCATGGAGTGAAGCCCAAGGAGATAGTCCGTCATTTGACCAACCCCAAGGGCAAGCACCGCGTCCGCAAAGGTGTTGCAGAACAGGTAGTGGATATTATCCGACATACCGATGAATGGGATAGCGTCAAGGAAGAGACCAGTTGGTTCCCCACGAGCGTAAACCGTCCCATTCCGGTATTGCCCATTTACCAAGATGGGTTACAGTGCCAATTTTGCCAGCAGATTTACCGCAGTCGCGACAGTTTACGAGTGCATTGGTCGAGGGAGCATCGGTTTTCCGCGTACGGCCATGGGGGCAAGCCACGACCATCCGAGGTCGCCGCAGGCAAGCAGAACCAAGAGGAGCGAGCCAAGCGAGTCGTGTGCCAGCGGTTTTTCCCCCGTGGGTTAGGGTCGCATTATATCCACATACGCCATCCCGGTCCCCAGTACGAGCCCGAAGCACCGCCACCCCAGGCCACGCAAGTCGCCGAAGCCGTGGAGCGGTTACGCGAGGTGTTTACACGGAAAATGCAGTTAGAAAGCGAGATCCAGCCCGGCGCCATCGACGAAGCCAATCCATGGTTGGACCGAACGGGATGGGCGGTATATTTACGCGGGCGTAACCCCAAGGAATTACGGATATGCATTGAAAGCCCGACGGAAGATGCGGAGGGTGACGAGGGTACCACACGGGTGATTTGGGATACCATATTACGTGTTGCCAGCAAAAGCCAGAGTATCACCAAACGGACAGGACATTTGTTACGGATCGAAGCCGCCCGTACCGACATAGAGAAGATCCCATCGAAGCCATTGCAGGTATATATGAATACGGACGATGAGTTGGAGCGCCATGTCGACCCATGGCGCCGCATTTTGATGTTTTTCGCCCGCACCCAAGTTCAGCATGATTGGAACAGTCCGGTGTACCGGTTCAGTAAACGGCAACGCAAGGCGTGGGACGCATTATGGCATTCCGCCGAGTGTTATAAGGACCGGGCCGAGCCGATCCCCACCGACGGTACCGACCCGAACCCGGACGTATTACAACCCGTGGAAGCCGATTGTATGGAATTTATGATTGAATTGTTAAACCAGCGCATTCGATCGACCGAGTACGAGTTAGCGTTGGTGTGTGCATTGGCCGTGTTAGGTGTGAGTGACCATGACACGGGTCGACCATGGAAGGATCCCCACAGTTACCCCCAGATTTTGTCCAGCGTAATCAAGGTGTCCCGGTTCGTCGTTGTGCATCAGTCGTTTTTGTTAGACCCGGATGCGCGTGAGTTATTACAGGTTGGGGAGAACAAGTTAGTGGGGGAGTGGGATGACCCCAGTCCAGTCGATTATATATTTTCACATCAACGGGATAGCCGCAGTCCGCCGCAGACCCAAGCCACAACGCCCGAAGTATCCAGTTCGCCCGCATTGGATAGTTTGCCCAACAGTTCCCCACCACCCGTTGCATTCACCCAGCAGGCACGAGAAGGCACCAAGACATGGCGCGAATGGATTCGTATCATGGTCACCGGGTTTATGGTGCACGGTACCGCCGGTCCGATGGAATGGATGATGGATTTACGCCGATATGGGTTAAAGGTCCATTACAATACCCCGTCCGTCGGGCATATCGGTTGGGGCAACGGGGACGAATTGTCGTACAAAACGATGCGGTTCACCATGGGGGCATTCCGCGGGTTCATTCATGGGTTGACGGCCAGCGCACGACAATTGATGGTCAACCAGATTTTGCGGTGCCCACCCGACCAGATTCCCGTCATCCCATGGGATCGTATCGCCGACGATTTCAACCAACCCAAGGCCGGGTGGAGTTTTTTGCAGGACGAGCGTACGCCGTGGCCCGTCGATGGATCCCGGTGGATGGTGGACCGGGTACGGGAGGAGCATCCATTGCAGCAGTGGTTTATGGAAGCCAGGACCAATCGGTTCAGTATTGATGCGATTCAACGGTTTTTCGGGTTCGTCAATGAGTTCAAGGAGAAGTTAGCCATTGTTTCGCATATCACCGGTGGGCAGCCCCCGCGTGGCCCCGAGTTATTGAGTATCCGTCACCGCAACAGTGCCGCCGGTGGACACCGCAATGTGTTTATTGAAGATGGATTGGTGGCATTTGTCACCCGGTACCACAAGGGGTTTTACGCCAGCGGGGATGCCAAGGTGATTCATCGGTACGTGCCCCGCGAAGTGGGCGAGTTGGTGGTGTGGTATTTATGGTTAGTGTTGCCATTTGTCGAGATGTTGCAGGCATACCATGAAGAGGCATGCCATTTAGACGCCGTTCCCGACACACATGCCACCAAGATGTGGGGGGTGGATGGCGGTAGCGGACGGGAGTGGACGCCGGCGCGGGTAACGGATGTGATGGTCCGGGAAAGTAAGATACGGTTACACCATGGATTGACGTTGGCCGCATACCGGGACATTGCCATTGCCATTAGCCGGCGGTATTTCAGCAATGCCAAACCGTTCCCACACAACGTCCGCGAGGATGGAACCGAGGTTATAGCCGACGACGAGGAGAACGAGGATGCCATGGACGACGAGCAATGGATCCGACATATTGCCGATTTACAAGCCGCGCACACGACCCACGTAGCGGAGATGGTGTATGGACGCATGATGAGCCAGCAGCAGGGGACCACAGCGGGTCGGCAGGCCGGGTTTCGGACGAGCAGCGTGCATTGGCATGATTTTTTAGGGTTTAACATCAAGGATATCCCGAGCCACGTATTGGGTAAGCGGCCACAGCCCCGGTGGAAGGACGAGGGGGTTATAATGCGGGACGAGCGTCAGCATTTGGTGGAGCAGACCAATATGACCGAGGCGTTGCAGCGGATGACCGGACAGCCCACGATACAGTTCCGCGGGGTGCAGGGGGCCGCCATCCGGTCGATTCAAGCGGGCCATTCCCGGGTGGTCGTGGTAATGCCCACGGGCGGTGGGAAAAGTATGTTGTTTATGTTGCCCGCGTGGGTGGCCCAGCGCGGCGGATTGACCGTTGTAGTAGTGCCATTGACGGCATTACGGGCGGATTTGCAACAGCGATGCCAGGCCGCCGGCATTCCATGTGTCGAGTGGGCCAGCCATCAACATCCCGATCATGCGGCCATTGTGTTCGTCACGCCCGAGTCCGTGTTCACGGACGGGTTCCAGTCGTTTTTGAACCGCCAGCGCGAGTTGATGCGGTTGGACCGGATTGTTATCGATGAATGCCATATGATGTTGAGCGAGTCCACGACGTTTCGCCCACGGTTACAGCAATTAGGTCGATTGCATCAGTGTGGCGTGCAGATGGTGTTTTTGACCGCAACATTGCCCCCATGCGAGGAGACCCGGTTGTTCAAGCGAATGCAAGTGGAGCGGGAGGACATCAGTATCCACCGCGAGCGAACCAGCCGTCACAATGTGGCATACCGGGTGTACCGGCCCGTGATTGCATCGGCATTTCGATCCCAGACGCAATGGATCGAGCAGCCCAGTATCCAACAGTTCATTCGTGACCGTGTACGGCGCGCGCGGCCCGGACGAGTGATTGTGTACGGCAGCACCCGGAATATTGTGACGCAGGCGGCCCAGATATTAGGATGTGCGGCATATTACAGCGACCAGGACAGTAAGTTAGGGATATTGGAACAGTTCCGAAGTACGGCGAATGGGGTGATTGCAGCCACCAGTGCATTAGGGATGGGCGTGGATATTCCCGATATTCGATGCATCATTCACATCGGGTTTCCCCGGTCGTTGTTGGATTACGCACAAGAAAGTGGCCGTGCCGGACGAGATCAATTCCCCAGTGAAGCCATTATCATCCAGCCGGAAGGGTTTGACGAGGTCCCGGCATGGTTTGACCAGAACACGCCCCGCGAGCAAGGCGGGTTCGAGTTAGTCCGGCAGTACATGGCCAGTGATCATCAGTGTCGTCGAGCGGTGTTGGATGGTTATTTAGATGGGGAGATCGATGGAGATACCCGCGAGCAGTGCGGCGACCACGACGGGCAGTTCGGGTTCGTCGAGCAACGGTGTGACCAATGTGACCCCGATTGGGAGGCGGCCGAGACCGATGATAGGGACAGTGATACCGAGATGGATGATCCCCATACGAGCATCCCGAGCAGCGCGTCGGACGCCGGGGTCCCCATTGAGGCGCAGCATCGGTACCATCAGCAGGAGATGGTGCAGACGGCGATTTCGGAGCGAGTGCGGACGTTGCAAGCGCAGCAGTTATCGGACGAGGAGTTTTTGGCGCAGGAGGCACGGCAGTGGAACCACCGATGTTGGTTATGCGTGCAGGCGCAGCAGGATGATGTCCAGCATGATTTGTGGAGTTGCCCCGCGGGCGAGAGTGCAGAGTGTCGACGATGGGTGCGGGCGATTCGGGATTCGATACAGTATATAGCCGGAGGATTTTATTGTTGTTATTCGTGTGGTATGCCGCAGTCGATTTGTCCCGGTTGGGAGGCCGGGCAGCAATGTGAATACCGGCAGTTTTTGTATCCGATGATGGCGATGTTAATCCATTGGCAATGGGCGGATGGGCGACAGGGAGGGTACGAATGGTGGCGCCAGCGGATGAAGAGTGCCAATATCCGCGTGACGGATTTAGACGCCGTACGAGAGTATTTAGCGCAGTCCGTGGACACCAGGCATTCCCGGTTAGCGCATGAGTATGTTTGGTTGCGTCGGATGTATCGAGAGTATGGGTTTTAGTGGGATTGCAAAGATATGGCAGGTATATATATAGGTAGATCGGTTAGTATTGGAGATATATATTTCAGTACGAGATTTCCGGAGGAGACCAAAGGGATAGAATTTACATGTCGTGGTTAGGGTTACCGATATTAGAGTTTTCGATAATATGGAGTTTAGGTGAGAGGGTATTGATAAATTGAAGGGGTCAGGGTTATAGCGGCGTAAGGGGGTAGGGTTCCATGTTTCCGGGGTATATTATTAGTATTAAGAATAAGGATATATATATATATATATATATAAACGGAGGATTATAATAAGGTAGGAAGTAAATAGATATTCGATTAATATAAATAGGATAAGAGGTAGAATAGTAGTAGCGAACAGGGGGAGGTTATTAGTTAAATCGAGGGGTAAGGGTTTTAATAGAGAGCAAGAGAGAGGGGGTAGGGATATGGTAGTATAAGGGGTTAGGATTATAGCGGGGTAAGAGGGTAGGGATATATTAAGATGTAGTAATACATCGGCGTAGGGTAGAGTAGGATAATAGAACATAGATTTTAAAAGGGCAGTAGGGGAAGAAATATAAGTGAACAGAGATAGGAGAGAAAGGGATATATATTAAGAGGAGGATTAAATTCGAAGGTATATGGATGGAGATATATATACAAGGGTAATAGGGATAGGACGATATATAAGAATTTCAAATGGGGAAGAAGGTTCAGAGTAGGATAAATAGGTCGGTAGAGTTTCAGATAGTGGAGTAGTGAAATTAGAAGGATAGTAGGTAAGGAGGTTAGATAGATAAGTCGGATAGAGAAAATAAGTAGGAGGTACGGGATATAATAGTAAAATAGTAGGAAAGGGGATTAGTATAGGAAGGAGGGTATTAATTATAATGTAAGAGGATGGTAGTAAGGATTATAGGAAGAATGAAAGTTATAAGGATTTATAGAGGAAGGGATATTATTAGACATAAGGACAGAAGTAAAATGGGATAGGAATAATAAGAGGAAAAGGATATAAAGGTAGTAGTGAAGTAGGTAAAAGAGGGAAGGAATAGTGAAGGGATATGGGTACAGGATATAGTTATAGTAAAGGGGTGAGGGTTTTATTAGCGAGAGGGTAAGGGTTTTATTAACGAGAGGGCAAGGGTTATAGCAGCGAGAGGGTGAGGGGTTTAGTAGCGAGAGGGTGAGGGGTTTAGTAGTGAGAGGGGAAGGGATTTAATAGTGAGAAGGGTGATGGTTTTAGCATGATTAGAAGGGTGAGGGTTTTAGCATGATAAGAGGGGTGAGGGTTTTAGCATGATTAGAAGGGTGAGGGTTTTAGCAGTAATATAGGTAATAGTTAGTAGTAGTGAGAAGTAAGGGTTTTAGGTATAGAAGACGGTAGGAGAGGTGAAGGGGGGGGGATGGAAGTTTAGGAGAGGGGATGAAATTAGGTGAATTAGGTGGATTAGGGTTAGGGTTAGGGTTAGGGTTAGGGTTAGGGCTTAGGGTTAGGGTTAGGGTTAGGGTTAGGGTTAGGGTTAGG